TTTTCACCCCTGCAGAGTAATGTCCCCCCCCCCCCCCCCCTTTTTCTCCACGTTTTACACTTCTCCATTCAGTATCTGCACACACGTGTATAGAGGCGAACTGCTGTAAATACTCACTGTACAAAAACAGCTTGTTTTAACGACATCACGGTACTCACGGCTTCATTTGAAAAGTTTCTGTTTTACCTCATCACCACGCAGCGGGACGGAAAACTGGACCATCGTTTATGTTGGAACTAAAGAGAGTATTATTGCTTCCGGGAAGGTTATAGGAAGAAAAAAAAAACACTTTGTATTATGAATAAATTATTTAACAAGCATTTTTGTTTTATTATGAGTTTTGTTTTAATGTATGGGCTTAATATAAATTAAAGATAAATTCATGACTATCAATAACTGAATTTCATTATTGGCAATGATGCTTCTAGAGGATTCGTGCTGCAGCGGGAAACAACTCTAATAATATTAATATAATAATAACATCACGATTAATTAGATTTATTCCACAACATTCAAAAAACAAAGTGACATTTCTTTATGTTTTGTGTCCACAGGTTCAATTTATATTTGTATTTTTCAATAAGGAACCCAACAAGATTCTTATTAAAGTTATTATGAGCTCCAATTGTAGATATTATTATTATCATTATTATTAATGTTAGAGCAGATATTTAAACATATGTTCTTTTACAAATCAAAGCGGGAAATGTCTCTGAGCAGTCTCTTTTAATAGTGAATAATGTCTCAGTGGTGTTTGTCCCTCTCTGATGGTTTGCTGCGGGGATTTCCAGCAGAACGAGCCACTTTGTGTCTTTATTAATTAAGTGAAGGAAATGACTGGCTACAGGTTCATACTGTCTGAGGTTTGGTAGAAACACTTCAATCAAAGCCAGTTCATGTGGAGCTGTCTGACAGAAGTGCTCCCCCTCTGGCTCTCATGTGGTACTACACCCCCCTCCCGTAGAGTGAGACTCAATGGCAGCTTTCTGCACCGTCTCCTCTGGATTCAGCCAATCAGAAATTAGCAGCCATAAAATTAAACCCCACAAAGAAATGTTTGATAAACCCTGGAAGTGAACAGCTGCTCTCACACACTGCGGCTCTGAGTGACGCTTTTTTCTAACAGTAACTTTTTAAATGTTATATATATATATTGGCTGTTAGTGCAGCACTCCATGGCCTATAGTGACTTATTTTTAATTAGAAGTCTTTTCTAAACTTTATTCAGCTGTGACCAAAGCAGGCCTCCCCTATAGTGTGTGTGTAACCTCCTGGAGGTTATTGTAAATATTTCTGAACAGTTTAATTTTCATTTAGGGTTTAGTATCAAATAAAGCGCATGTGGTGCTCAAAGAGTGTATTTGTTGCGCAGTTGGATTGCGCACATATTAACCATCTGAATATGATGTGAGTGTATAAGAAAGGCTTCAGTCTGTTGCAGATTACTTTCATTTACTTCAGCCTGGATCAAACAGTCCGTTAAAGGGCAGCAATAACCGGCTGTACTTTCACTGAGAAAAATGATCATTATATTTAACCTCCTGTGGGAATATTAGCTATACCTAAATAAATAAAACGTATATAAATATCCTATAAAAGGTCAGTATTAGGAACTATATAGATGTAGGACTCTCCGTTCAGGGCTGCAGTGCAGGCCCAATTAAAGCTGGTGTCTCCGTTCTCTCTAAAGAAAAACGAGCTGAGGGAATCCCTGTTGGTGAGCTCCAGCACTATACCAGCGCACTAATAACGCACTAATAATCCACTGATGATGCCGCGGAGGGCTCATTGATAAAGCCATCCCATTGTGCAGGAAAGAGGGAAGAGGAGAGGTAATGAGGACAAACAGCCGATGAGCTCTAACGGTTTTTTATTGCTTGAGAACTGCATCACCTACAGTAGAGGCCAGGCCGTCCAGAAGGGGTAGAATAAAATCTCTATCTGCTTTTATATGATGGAGTGAAGAAAAAACTGCGGCTTATACTCCTACAGTATACTCACAATGGCCAGCAGGAACAAAAACAAGCAGGCTTCTTTTTTTCTTTTGCTTTTTTAACTTTTTGCCTACGAACCAAATCACACAAGACAACATAAATTCTGCGGCAGGCACAAAATCATTTCCACTTGCGGTGATTTAGATGAAACAACAAAATAATAATAAAATCACAGAGGATCAATCTGACGGCTTCACACAGTCTGAAATCTGTAGTGTAGTAAATTAAATCGATAAAAAGGAAACGCTGGATCGCTCCTTTAATGCTCAAATTATTTGCAATGAAGGCTGCTGAAGGCTACATACTGAACAAATAAAAAACAAGTCTTCCTGCTCGTTCCCGCGTTTAGAGTTTTTCTCTCTTTTTTTTTTTTTTACATCTCATAATCAATACCTTTACCGTCTGACTTAAGTATTTTATAACTCTTACACACTTCATTTCTGTGTAGGATACTTGGCACCATAATGCAGTAACAAAACAAATGACAAAAAAAAAACAAATAAACAAAAAACAGTTTACATTTTAAGGATACCCAAGCCTATCTAAAATATCACATTCAGAACCATAATATTATAGAAATAAGTTAGAGTAAGAATAATAATGAAATAATGTGAGTGCTATATATATGAGACATTATCTTATATACTTGCATGGTCTATGGCACTGCTTAAAACATTCTTGGATAGGCGATAAATCACTGAACAGTTTCTCTCCTCTTGTACTGACTATTCAAAGGTCACT